AGTGTTTTTCAACCTTTTTTAATCTCATGGCACACTTGAACCTATAGTTAATCTTCCATGGCACACTTAAAATTATGTTGATACAAAAAAGAATATATTTGGCTAGGTGCCTGTGGCTCAAGTGGCAAAGGTGCCAGCCACATACACCTAAGGTGACAGGTTCAAATCTAGCCCGGGCCTGCCAAACAACAATGATGGCTGCAACCAAAAAATAACCAGGCGTTGTGGTGGGTGCCTGGGGACCCAGCTACTTGGGAGGCAGAGGCAGGAGATTTCCTTGAGCCCAGGAGTTGGAGGTTGCTGTGAGCTGTGATGTCACAACACTCTACCCAGGGGAATAGTTTGAGGCTCTGTCTCAAAAAAAAGAATATATTTACTGTGCTTTAAACTTATTTTGAAAATAATTTGATTAATGATCTTTAAAAATTTTTGTGGCACACAGGTTGAAAATCACCATCTAGATCCATCATTATGTATTATGATCAAATCCAAATACCAATGAAAATACCATCATTATGTATTATGATCAAATCCAAATACCTGTTGACTCTCAGAGGACAGGGATATATTTGCTTTATTTTATTTTTTTCAAGAGTAACTAGGCCAGTTTCAAGAGTAATTAGGTGTCTCAGGATAAGAAACAAATCCAAGTGCCCACTGACCCACGAATGGATTAACAAATTGTGGTATATGTACACCATGGAATATTATCCAGCGTTAAAAAAGATGGCAAATTTACCTTTTACATGGATGGAACTGGAACATATTCTTCTTAGTAAAATATCTCAAGAATGAAAGAAAAGGCTCGGTGCCTGTGGCTCAAGTGGCTAAGGCGCCAGCCACATACACCTAAGGTGGCAGGTTGGAATCCAGCCTGGGCCCGCCAAATGACTGCTGCAACCAAAAAAAATAGCCAGGCGTTGTGGCAGGCACCTGTGGTTCCACCTACTTGGGAGGCTGAGGCAGGAGACTCGCTTGAGCGCAGGAGTTGGAGGTTCCTGTGAGCTGTGATGCCACAGCACTCTACCTAGGGAGACAGCTTGAGGCTCTGTCTCAAAAAAAAAAGAATAGAAGAAAAAATATCCAATGTACTCAGTACAATTATGAAACCAATATATAATCTCATTCACACTTCCATATGAAAAGTAAAACACAACTATAGCCCAGGATGAAGGAGGGAAGAGGAGGGAGAGGGGATTCAAGGGGAGGGGGCAGATGGATGGAGGGAGAGTAATTGGTGGGACCTCACCTATGGTGCATATTGCAAGGGTACATGTCAAATCTATTGAAGAGTAGAGTATAAATGTCTTTTTTTTTTTTTTTTTTTTTGAGACAGAGCCTCAAGCTGTCCCCCTGGGCAAAGTGCCATGGCATTACAGCTCACAGCAACCTCCAACTCCTGGGCTCAAGCGAGTCTCCTGCCTCTGCCTCCCAAGTAGCTGGGACCACAGGCGCCCGCCACAACGCCCGGCTATTTTTGGTTGCAGCCATCATTGTTGTTTGGCGGGTCCGGGCTGGGGATTCGAACCCGCCACCTTAGGTGTACGTGGCTGGCGCCTTAGCCAGTTGAGCTATAGGCGCCGAGCCACATTCTCCTCTCTCATCAGACTACGCCTCCTTTATAAAACCCAGTTAGGTTTACCTTGTGGCCAATTTCTCTCCATGCCCATTACTTCCTAATTTTGAAAGGTGTACACAGCATGGCAATGATGCCAGGAAATTACTGTTAGGGACTGCCCTCCCACCCCCAACCTTGATTTTTTCCCTACAGCACCTAACAGAAGCGACTAGTGGAAGGTCCAGGCCTCAGAAACTTAAACAGCTTGGTCATAAACATTGGCTCACCTTTTCCACTCTGACTCTGGGTCTCGAGACTTCCTCAAGGACATGTCAATAATTTAATTTCTGAAATTCAGAAGTATAACCTAAAATTTTCCAAGTATATATTCAACAGCCAAGTATTCCATTTCCTTAAAAATGCTATTGGTGGAAAAAAGACATTTTTGTGTTAAGAAAATCCAAGTGTGTGTGTTTTAGATTTCAGATTAGTATGAGGTACAAATGTTTAGGTTATGCTGTTTTCATTTCTACGGTAAAGTTCAAGTTATAGTTGAGCCCTTCACCTGTGCGGGAGAAGTTGAACACCCTCACACTGTGCACATTAGGTGAGAGCCCACCAATTGTTTTCCCTCCCTTGTGTTGTTTTTTTTTTTTTTTGAGACAGAGTCTCACCATGTCACCCTCAGTACAGTGCTGTGCCGTCACAGCTCACAGCAACCTCAAACTCTTGGGCTTATACAGCGGCTCTCAACCTGTGGGTCAAAACCCATAGGAACTGTATTAAAGGTTCACAGCATTAGGAAGGCTGAGAACCACTGGCTTAAGTGATTCTCTTGCCTCAGCCTCTCAAGTAGCTGGGACTACAGGGGCCCACAATGTGCAGCTATTTTTTTGTTGCAGTTGTCATTGTTGTTTAGCTGGCCCTGGCCAGGTTTGAACCCACCAGCCCTGGTGTGTGTGGACGGCACTGTAACCACTGTATTACTGGTGCCGAGCCGCTTCCTTGTGTTTTTTGAATTCAAATGTATTTTGAACAATAACAACGGAAGAGTTTCAAGGTCATTTTTGGTTAGAGTAAGGCTCCTATTTCTGGTGGCCATGAGCAGAGATGACCATCTGACTTCATTTGATATGGCTACTGCTGGAGCAAGTGTGGAGAGTCCAGGCCTCAACAACTTAAAAAGCTTTTGTGTTAACTTAAAGATTCTGTGTTGGGCTGGGTGAGGTGGCTCACACCTGTAATCCCAGCACTCTGGGAGGCTGAGGTGGGTGGATTGCCTGAGCTCAAGAGTTCAAGACCAGCCTGAGCAAGAATGAGACCCCCATCTCTAAAAATAGCCAGGTGTTATGGTAGGCACCTGTAGTCCCAGCTATTCTGGAGGCTGAGGCAAGAGGATCACTTAAGCCCAAGAGTTAGAGGTGGCTGTGAGTTAAGACACCACAGTACTCTACCGAGGGTGACAAAGTGGGACTCTGTCTCAATAAAAAAAAATTCTGGGTTAATGAAGTTCTCATTTAGTTGAAATAATTTTTCCTTTGACTATGAATCTAGACATTATTAAAATTTATTTGATTTTTTTTTTTTAACTCTGAGGTAGTTGTCATTTTGCTTTAAATTTCCTCTTCTCCCCTCTACCTGAAGGAGGGTTAGACAGCAAAGGATCACCACCCAGGGGCAGAGGAGGCAGCACGGTTATGGGTCGCCTCCCTGCCCTGACATTTAACTTTGCAGACAACTGTTTGTGAAGCCTGTAATCCAGGAATCTGAATATATTTTCAGTGACATACTTGGAAGTATAATCCAGGAATCTGAATATATTCTCAATGACATACCTAAGAAGAGGAAGAGAGAGAGAGAGACAGAGAGAGAGAATGCGCTAGTCACTCAATGCTTTCGGCAGAAATGGTGCCCTCCCATTTGTTGCTCCAGATCCATTCTCCATGCCCCGATTATGGACTACTTGGCGTCTGGGTTGCGGTAGTCCCTTGGGTGCTTCACCGTCCCCTGTTGCTTCCCTGAACCCTCCCTGCCCATGCCTCTGCAAATTACCGCTTCATTAAATGTTCTTCAGTAAAACCCTTAAGATGGGCCAGGGCCAGAAAGATACAATAAAAATTTATTCTAAACAGATATCAAGCACATTTTCATGTTTATTAACATAGGTTACATTCTTAAGGGTGAATATAAAAACAGTGACATAATATTTTATAAGTACAGTAATGACAGTCATATTTTATTATATACAGACTGAATAAACAGTGACAGTAAATCTCCGCTGATTTAGATAAAATGAATAACTACATTGATAAAATCAGTCTTAGCTTCTACTTATAATACAGTTATATTACTTTCATGTAAATTAATCTATGGTATATGGAGATAGTTTGCTTTTTTTTTTTTTGGAGACACAGTCTCATTTTATTGCCCTAGGTAGGTGCTGTGGCATCACAGCTCACAGTAACCTCCAACTCCTGGGCTTAGGCGATTCTCTTGCCTCAGCCTCCTGAGTAGCTGGGATCACAGGTGCCCACCACAATGCCTGGCTATTTTTTGTTGCATTTTGTCTGAGGCGGGTTCAGACCCTCCATCCTCGGTATATAGGGCTGGCACCCTGCCCACTGAGCCACAGGCGCCGCCCAATAGTTTGCTGTTTTAAATAAACATTTGCCTTCTAACTTTGCCCTTTTTTTGTTTATTTAAAATGAACTATTTTTTCATAAATAAAAAGATATGTTTCAACCTAATTTTCAAGTTACTTTGTCACGTCCATGAAGATTTTCTATACTTGATACTTACCAAGGGGTTGAAAAATGCTTTTAAAATAATCTCATTAAGTCTTAAGATGCAGAAATGGAAAATTATATTTCTTCTTTTTTTTTGAGACAGAGCCTCAAGCTGTCACCCTGGGTAGAGTGCTGTGGCATCACAGCTCACAGCAACCTCCAACTCCTGGGCTGAAGCAAGTCTCCTGCCTC